CGGGGTGTCGTGAATCAAGCGAACACGTCGCGGCCAGCGCGATTATACGACCTCGAGCGCGGGACACGTAGGGCCTTTATAGTAGGTATACATCTGTAAAAGATCGGTACATTGGTCCGGTCCATTTATCGTCGGTGGCCAACAGTCTCTTCCACGCCGTTGAGAACAGCTGGAAGATTTACGAACCTTCACCGACAGATCAAATATCTATCGTGGTGGAGGATTTTCTTTTCGAACCCTCTCTCTTATCGGGGAAAAGTTATTGTTCGAATCTCTCTCTCTCTCTTCATTCTCGTGCAACGAATAAAGATTAAATTCTGCCTTACTCGAGCAAGATTCGCAATCTGTCAATTAGAAAATACGTAGAAAATACATAGAAAACGTAGAATTCAAATCTCTGGCCCACACATATATATATAGTTAAACAGAGATTTTTAATTCGAATGGAATTTTATTATCGGTGGATCGATAAAGACAGAGGTTGAGGGAATCGAAGAATCGAACACTTTGTGAAGAGAAAAAGAAATGTCAATATCAAGCTATTTCGCTAGCCTAGTCGATCGTAGGCGTCGATCTCGTGGAGCGAGCGATCCGCCGATTAAAGCGCATTTCGAATGGGGGAAAAAGTGTCGGGTCGAAGACGAGGGGAAACGATCGGGCGGAAAGATTCGAAGAGGATCCTAGCGGCGTGCGTTTCCAAGATACGCTTTTATGGCTCGCGTCTCCAATTTCACGTGCAATAACGAGACGCGGCGCGACTCACCGTCCGTAAAGGGGGCCCGGGCGAGGGCGGAAAAGCAGACGTATCGACGCGGTGGGCGTCGATGGTCGAGGGAAAGATCGGCGGTGAACGAGATCGGCGGTGAACGATCGGGAGAATGAAGACGAGGGAAGATGATGCACGCCGTTTCTACGATTCCCACGCCCACCATTCCCGACCACGAGACCGCAGAACGCCGCTCTAACCACCGACATTACGTCTGAAAAACCTTGCCGGCCGGCCGTTCCATCGTCATCGCGGTCGGGGGATCGTCCCGTCAGACGTTCGACCCTTTCATTTTCCAACCGTCTAAACGATTCGACGGCGTCCATTCGTATCTCTGGATACTTGTTTGTACGCGGAACAGAATCGATACGCCCCTGGCTCGGGGGGACGTAACATTACGAGTCCTTCGATTCTAAAAATCTTTAATGCGACAATAATTTTCTCGATATCGGAAGGAGAGCGTATTGGGGGACGTGTTATGTGGAGAGGATCTCGTTCGGGAGTGCGGAAATGTTGTGCAGATGGTTATCTTTATCGCGTGGAAGCTGAATCGTTTCTGGCTAAGCGGTGGAAAATTTTTCGTGTTGGGGAGACGTTCTCGGTGGTTAACGCGAGCTTATCCACCTTTCCACGATCTACCCACTCGCTCTTCTCGAGTATCTCGTCGTTGAAAATCGTGGTTAAATCGCCGGCCCGCTCGCCTCGAGAATCTGTCGATTGGCCGTGATTAGAAATTAGGCTTCGAGTTCTCCGCAACAGATTCGAGCTTTACGGATAGGAATAATTACTATCGACTTGTGCGTCGATCTTCGTGATTCTACTTATTTTGAAATAGGAAGAGGTGGACAAGACGAGGCGGTAACTTTCCAAATTTGTTCCCTCTGTCTCGAACCCTCTTCTCGATGCGAGCACTTTTTATCGATATCGACCACGAATCTTCTCGCGGATGACTTTTTCAAAAGTGTCTTAGAGAGAGAGAGACGAAAAAGAAGCGACGCGGTGGATAAAAGAGAGACGCGAAGCGAATACGAGCGCAAAGGTAGAGCGAAGAAGAGGCAACAAGGCTGGTGTTTTTCGACGAAAGAAAAGCTCGGAGGCAAAGCTGAGTGCGAACGCATATCATCGTCCGATAACGCGACCGATCCGATAATCCGATGACACGCGTAATCGTTTATTATTGCGTGGAGCTGCGACGAAAACCGCTGATGGATTCGTTGCGATCGTTCGAACGCGAGATGACATCGAGAAGAGAAGCAATCGAGTCGTGAAAATTATAAAATTCGTTCCTTCGATATCGATAGGAATAGGATACGAGTTCTTCCTTTTCTTTTTTTTCTTTCGAGCGTGGAAGAAAGAAAGAAGTATAAATTGTATATCTTAAAAATCATTCTATTCTTTTTGTCGATAATGAACTCGTATCGTTGATCCTTTGAACGATTATATATATCGAATATGTTTAACGTTTGGATAAATTCGTATTATGAAAATTTGTATCTCGATGCGGATAAAAAAATATGATAATATATGGCCAAGAATGATGGAAAATGTATATCATTTTTCGCTTGGAATATCATAGAGTCTCGTTGGTGGAATGATGGATAGTTGTCGATACGTTCGTCGATTGCATCTAATAAATATTTAGCGTTTCATACGTGTTCGAGAGTTCGGCACGAATAACGGCGCGTGAGCCGCTCCTATTTGCTCGTGAACGAAGAGGACGAGCACCGAGCGTGTACGCGGAGATGAGATGAGCGTTGCCTTCTCACGGGACGACGTTTTCTTTGCTGGAAGCGATCCGAGGAATTAGCCGGCGACGAATACGTTCAACCAAGACATGGGCGTGTCTTTGAAGTGGCGGAATATAATTCCACGTTCCTTAGAGCTTAATGCAGATATCCGTTCCAACGAATCGTACCGTTTCCTCGATCGCGAGATTCTAATTACAGCGAGAGAAATCACAATCCTTCGTAGAATTTGTTGCGAGGCGAATTGATTTAGATTCGAACGAGGATTTCGATCGATTGAGTATGACTTGCCATTTGTGAAAAACGAATGGATGGTATAATCACAGATTCTATGTTCATTTCTTATTGTATAATTCGAAGGTAAAAATCTCATTATTTTTTTTCACGTTTCGGATTTTAAATGTACAATTAGTTAATAAAGATATTCGTAAAAGTTTAAAAGTTTTAAGAGACGTAAAAATCATTTTTCTTTTTTCGTAAATCGTGCATATTGTAGAAATAACGAGATATTATTCTTATGACATGTATGAGTCTTATGACATGGTAAACAAGGATAAAAGATGGTCGAAGAAGGATAAAGATGGAATAAAAATAATGAAATTAACGCCATCTCTAGGATGCCGTAGATAAAACAAGATAAACAAAGAAAGTAAATAATAAGAAAAGGATTAGAGTAAATATAAGAACTGACCATAGTGCTCCATCTTTCGAGCGTTCTTAAAAGTATATTTTTATATATAGAAGCATATTCGATCGAGAGATGACGCTAACGGTTATTTCTTATCTTATCTCTGTCCTTCTTTCGCTATTTTCTATCCTTTTTTATATGTTTCATCAGCGGCACTCTGGAGATGGCGCTGATTTCAATATTTTTTTTACTTTCTCCCGTTACTTACTCTTCTCGACTATATTTATTCTACGAAATAATATATGCTCAAAAGATTCTATTCAATTATCATACGTCGTATATGTGCAATTTTAAAACGTTTACTTTCCTATTCCTATATGTATGCTATTTTGGAATAGCATTCGAAAATTTTAACACAATCGCGACTTTATATAATATAATTTTTTATAAGGAAAGGCGAAAAGATGGCAGAGAGAAGAGAGAAAAAAGATAGATATAAAGATATTTAATAAGATAATTACGATTAAGATTCAACGCATCACGCGATATCGATCGACTGCTAGAAAAAAATCTCTTCCATTCATCGGTCCATATCGCCTTTATTAAAAGCGAAAATCTTCGTTGACTCGCTTTGACGATTTTTCACAAAACGAAAGAAACGAATATATGCTTTTGAAAACATTTATTTTTATTGCAGAATATAGAATAATAAGAATAATGCATTACTATTCTTACGTGTGATTCGTTTACATCACGCAGACGCGACTCGGATACCGAAACGATTCTTCGTCTACGTAGTTCGAAGAAAGTCTCGGATCTGAAAAATCATAACGGAAATGAGGTGTAATCTATATACAAATACTAAATGTGTTAAATATCTACAAATCGGTATGCGCGTATCTTGTATTTGTTCGAAAAACGAACGCAATTCTCGAGTACTGACGGAGTGCTGGTCAAAACGGAGAAAACGCTCTAAATGTCATCATTTTTTTTCCTTTTTTCTTTTTCTATTTTTTTTTTTTTTTTTTTTTTTTTTTTTTTTTTTTTTTTTTTTTTTTTTTTTTTTATACTTATTCTAACATTCTCTCAAGTTCCTTTCGAAAGGAATCTTGTTTATCTTGGCTCGAGAGCATTTTTCTCGGTCATCGAAAACGAAAGAAATGTTTTTTTTTTTTTTTTTTTTTTTCTTTTCTTTTTTTTTTAAGTTAACAAAAAGCGATTGCGCATGACCTCGCGTGTTATGCAACTAACTTATTTAGATTGTCGTTACTCAACGTCCCCGACGTTAAATTAAATCGTTTAAATTAAATGGTTGATTTCGAACACGAATCAACACGATTTCTTACGATTTCGAGAAAGAAAAAGAATAAAGTAATAACAAATCGATTAAAAATACGCCCCCGTATTTACATATTTTTGCACTTCAGGCCATATTCCTTACCGGCTAACGAATAAAACAAAGACGATGCTCGATTTCGCATCGACGATTGAAACGCATTCGATATGACAAGTATCGCGCGCGTCGAGCATTGGCATTGAGCATATTCATAATCTCATACACCAAATAACCTTAACTTAATTGCTCTACTATGTACACGTACGTTGGCTCGATGGCCAAAATCATCCTTCATGTACACCGAATTATATATATATATATATATATATATATAT